GGAGGAGCAGGTCTGGTGTCCAGGGGCTCGGGGAGGCTGTCTCTGAGCTGGGAGAAGGCCCAGAATTGGAGGAATCCACCATTCCCCAATTACCCCTCTGGGCCCACTTCCTGCTAGCAACTGTCACAATAGCATTCACTGTTTATTTTTCAGGCTCAGTGGTTAATCTCTTTTCATCATAGCGCGCATTGGAATCCATGAGAGATGAAAGACCACCAGGATGCCAGCACACAGGGGCTCGGATACATTGCTTCCCAGGCTGCCCTCACAGGACTCAGGTGCAGGAATGCCCAGGGCTGTACTGAGCAAGCAGAGGTCTGGCTCCCACGCCACCCTCACCAGCAGCATCTCAGTGTCGACATGTGTTGACTTCCTTGGGCTGTTACAGAAATCAGAGCTCCTTGTCACTCCCTGTTCAGTCCAGGCGGGTGCTGGCAGCCAGAGGGACTCTACGGTGGGCTGGCCGTGCTTTGGGACTCAGGTTCCCCACCAGTAACAGGGCTGGGAGCAAATGGTCTGTACATGTGGTCTTTTTTTTAACTTTTATTAAATTTATTTGGGTGACATTGGTCAACATGATCACATTAGACTTCAGTGTAGGTTTCTATGTTACAAGATCTATATATTGCACTGTGTGCCCACCACCCAAAGTCAAATCTTCTCCTGTCACCTTATATTACGACCTCTTTCTCCCCCCACCCCCTGTTGGTGCCGTTTTAGCTTGAGGCCCTCACACTGTCCCCTGGACAACCATGTACCCAGGGCCAACCTCCTCTCACTACAAGGTACGTCCTCAAACTCTTCCCTGCGAACACCCCACAACTCTAAATCCTCATTTTAAATGTAACTAACTCTTTTGTAACCTACTTTTTTGAAGGTAAATTGATTCTTGGAATCCTAAACTCCTGACCTTCCCTCCCAGCTTAGGTCCCCTAGTCAGGGCCAGGCCTTATCAGTCCTGCCACTCAGTCCGGGCCTGATAGAGCTACCACCGTCTGTCAGAGGGCCGGGCGGGGCTCAAAGACCCTATCTTGGACCCACTTCCACACCCCCACCTTCTCTGGTACAGTGTTCCTGCCCAGGAGGAATCGCTCACCAACAATAGCAGCTACAATAATCTTGAATTCACGGTGCCATTATCCCTCCTAACAGTGAGGTGGAGGCTGTTCTAAACCCCCACCTGAGAGGTTAACACAGTGAAACCGGGACTCACAATGTTAACTAGCCTGCCCAGAGCCACCCAGGGGTCGCTTTCAGGGGAAGGTCTCCGCTGAGGGCCCCTCTGAGCTCAGCTCCAGCCACAAAAGTT